ATCACGGCAGCAGGAGGCAGGGCGGGCATGTGGCAGGGCTGGGGGCAAGATTAGGCCAGCTGTCTCCCTGTCCAGACAGCCACCGGCTGTGGGCAAGACATCTGCTCACACAGCTGAGGGAGCCAGGTGGTGGCTGCTTCCTGCTCACCTCAAATCCCACCACGTGGTGGCCGGACACAGCTTCTGGTGTCCTTGGGGGGAACTGAGGACCCTGTGTCCAGGGACCTTCCCGCCTGACTTCCATGGGCTGGGAAGCTGGGCACCTGGGTCCCTCTGCTGGCCACATGGGTTTCCAGAGAAATACCCCCTCCTTTCCAGGGAGGAAGCCTGGGCCACCTCTCTACTCTCTCCTCTCCATGCTGAGAGGTCCCCACAATCTCCCAGAACCAGCCCACCACTACCTGGGCCCTTCTCTCTCTGGCCTTTCTCTTCCCACACCCTCCTGATGCTGTGAACTGTCCTCCAAACACCAGGCCCCCAGGGGCTTCCTGGGGTGTCCTAAGGCAGGAGAAGAGGTCTCCAGGGGAACCTGCCCAAACCCAAGCCTGAGTTTCCCAGCTGTTCCAAACCTCCAGCCTGCTCACAGTCCAGGGCACCCACTCCAGGGCACCCACCCCAGGCATGCCAAGGGATCACTCTGGATATGCCCCTTCCTGTCAGCCCCTCCCAAGCCCCAGGCATCTCCCATTCTCTCTTGCCCCGCCTCTCCAACCCACCACATAGCTTGGTGATTCTGTGTAATTACTCCTCCTTCTCTGACTCCTCTAGGGACCAGTGGGGCATACCTCATCCAAGCAGCCAGCAAGCCTGGACACAGGGCCACATGCTTCCCTTGGCCAAGCCCCAGGCTTGATGCACCCTGTCGGGCTGGGGAGCCCAGTACATGGAAGGTATATGCCAGGGTGCCCACCAGTTCACAGGTTGAGAGACGGGGTTCTCTTCAGTCCAAAGAGAGATCCAGAATATGTAAAAAGTGCTAACAACCAACAACAAAGACACATAACCCTATGAAAAACGGGCAAAGGAACTGACTCCAAAGAAATTATACACATAGCCAAAGAGCATGTGAAAAGATACTCAACATCTTTAGCCCTCAGATAAATGCAAATACAAACCACAAAACCGCACCATTTGCACCCACTACAATGGCCAGCATCAAAAAAAAAAAAAAAAATGGAAAATGAGTTTTGGCGAGGAAGTAGAGAAATAGGAACCCTCATGTGTTGCTGGTGGAAATGTAAAATAGTGCAGCAACTTCAGAAAAGTTTGGCAGTTCCTCAAAAACTTAAATGCAGAGTTCCCCTATGACATAGTGATTCTGTTTCTAGGTATGGATCCCAAAGAATTGAAAACACACATACCCACAAAAAAAGAAAAAATTTAAAAATGGGTACACCCTTGTTCATGGCAACATTATTCATAATAGCCAAAAGGTGGAAACCACCCAAACATCCATCAACCAATGAACAAGTTAAAACAAAACAAAACAAAACATCATATATCCATTCAGTCAAATGTAATTCAGTCATGAGAAGGAATGAAACACTGATTCATGCTTATGACATGGATGAACCTCAAAAACATTATGCTGAGTGAAAGAAGCCAGACACAAAAGGCCACATACTGTATGATTCCATTTCTATGAAATGTCCAGAATAGGCAAATCCATGGAGACAGAAAGCAGATTAGTGGTTGCCAGGGGCTGGGGAAGGGGGGGATGGGGAGTGACTGCTTAATGGGTATGAGGTTTCTGGGGTGAGGAAAATGTTCTGGAATGAGATAGCGGAAAGGGCTGCACAGCCTCGTGAATATACTAAAACCCACTGAGCTGTACACTCCAGAAGGGTGGATTTTACAGGATGTGAATTATGTCTAATAACAAAAAGGGAGCCTCAGCTGGCCCTAATATCCACCAGGCTCCCGATTCAGAGGGGTCCCCTTCCTGCAGCCTGGGTTTTCAGGCTGATTCCAAGCACCCTTCCAGCACTAACATCTGGCTTTGGGGCCTCAGCTGGGGACATCTGGTCTGGGTGGTGAGAGTGTTCCTTTGGGTGCCAGGGTTGGTCCTATTTCCCACCATCCTGCTCCCTAAAGCTATCTGATACAAGGGGCCACCAGCAAGAAGCACCCTTGGCACCCTCAGAGTAGAAAACAACTTCCCTGAGGACCTCCCTTGCTGCATAGGATCCCTAAGGGCTGCAAGGTTCTGGGCAGCTGGGCAGCCTGGGATAAGGAGCAGGGAGCCCTAGTCCCTCTGAGCCAGGAGGGTCCTCAGACCTGGCCCCAGAGTCCATATTCAGGGTCTGGGGCTCCCCTTCTAAACACCGGAATGACTCAGTGGGGGGAACAATCGCTGATGTTTTTGTCATCATTTCACCTGAGAACCACATGGAGAGGGCAGAGTGCCAGGGAGCCCTCCCTGGATGAGGGATAAGCTCAAAGCCCTAAACCCATCCAGGCCTACCCTCCCTCTGCAACCTCCAGAGTCAGAGTCTGAGTTTGTACCCCAACCCCAATACATGATCCTTCCCACTTACCCCTCTATCAAGAAGGGTGTGGGGCCCTGGGAGAACCAGATGGAAAGGCCACCTGCTAATCTGGCCAGGATGCAGGGCCGGCCAAGGGGAAGATGGGAGGGGTCCAGCCTAGTGGCCAGAGGCCGCCAAGAGGGCAGCACCAGTCGGGCAGGGTTGGGTTGCAACTCAGGGAGGGGGCAGGGAGGGCGCCCGTCAGCCCACGTGACCCTCCCCGGGGCCAGCCTCTCCGCCCCAGGTTCCTGGGCTGTAACTGGAGCCTCATTCTTGCCTGGGAGCCTCCGTGCCAGGCAGAGCTTTCAAGAGGGGGAAGGGTAGAGCACAGCCCTAGAGCCCAGCAGCTTCTCCCTGCTTTCTGGACAGGGGCAGGGACACATAGTACCCTCTGCAGAGGCCCCCCACAAGTCCAGACACAGCCTAGCTGAAAGCTCATCTCATCCCCACTTCACCTTCCATCCCCAGCTCAGGAACCCACTCAAGGGGGGTCCAAGGCTTCCTGCAGTCCAGCCATTGAAATGGCACCTGGCCTACCCCCACCCAGGAAGCTTCCCTGGTTTGGGGAGGCACTCACCCTTGGTCCATCAAACAGACATCTAGCTGTTCCCAGTATAGCTGGCTGTCCCCCAGGGAAGCACACCTGCCCTCTGGACTTTCTGCAGGGCGGCTGCAAGAAGAGCTGCACCTACAGCCAGGACTCAGAAAGCCCCTTGTACCCCTTGGGTCCTTTGGTGTCCAACAGCAGGCCATAGCAGTGGTGTTGAAGCCCTTATTCCGTGCTCCAGCCAAGACTAATCCCCTGCCAAGGAGCTGAAACCCACACAAAGTGCATGTGCCCTTCCCCACTAAAACAGCAGAGCTGACTCCCCCCTGATGTGCAAAGCTCAGAAACAGGTGACAAAAAGAGAAGGCTATGAGTCTAACCCCAAGTCCATCTCTCATGTATTGGATAGGCAGCAGAGAGATCCAGGCAGGGCAAAGCCACTACAGCATAGACAAGCCCAGGGTGTGTCCCAAGCCTGGGGAGCAGAGCCTTCGCTGGGCCTGAAGAGAGGGAAGGCACAGCTGGCTGACAAGGCCACTGTGACTCACCGTGGACCTGTGGCCAGACGGCCATCCTCTGGCCCTCCCTCCTGCCCTGGCGGGGGTGAGGCTATGGGCTGCACAGATGGCGTGCAGGGATGTGCCAGCCTGGGCCCAGGGCCGGACCCGCAGCTGGAGCCAGGAGAAGGCTGAGGGTGGGGGCCCGGTAAATGGAAACACGGAGCTGACCCTGGAAGATGACCCTGGAGAAAGGAATAGTGGGAGAAGAAAGGGGGAGAAAGAAAAACACAAAAGGAAAGTTTCCCATGAAAATATTTTATTTTCTTTGAGAACAGGATACACCTGCAGGGCTCCTCGGCCCAGCCGGCCTCTCCCCGCCCTCGTGGGTGCCAGATTCCTGGACCAACGGGGCCCTCTGCCGGCCAGGCCGCTGCGCGCTGGCGCCCGGGCCAGGGGCGAAGAACAGGTGACCGGAGGAGGGCGGCGGCCCAGAGAGCGGCCCAGGGCGCCCAGGACTGGGGCTGGGACCCGGGGGCCAACGGGGCTCCCAAAGGCGGCGCCTACGGCGGGAGGCAAGGAGGGCGGGAAGACCTGGGGGGCTGCCTCGCGTGGTGCCACCCTAGACCTCAGCATGCCCAAAGTGCAGCGAGGGTCCCTCTAAAGGTCGGCTGGACTTCTAGTACCTGGGGAAGGAGGAGGTGAGGGGACGGAAGGAAGGAAGGAAAGACAGCCACAGACACGCCGAAACCACTGCAAATCGCTGCTGGAGAGACCCGCGAATTCGGACTGCGACCCCGTGGGACGCTCCGGGCAGGCCCTGCGCACCCAGTCAGATCCCACAGACGCGCTCCCGCGAGCCGGGGCAGCGGCCGAGTCCCGGGCAAGCGTCAGAAGCAAAGCACAAGAAAAATAAATTCCTCCAGCTTGAAGGGTGTTTTTTTTTCTTTTTCTCCCTTTGGGGCTTAGTGCAAGGAACATCTGGATTTTGTACGTATTTTTTTGTTATTGTTAAATTAACTTCTCGAGAAGAGAAAGGGGGAAAGCTGCAAGGGGGGTGAGCCGGCAGGGTCTGGGAAGGCTCCAGCCGTTTGGCAAGAACCCTGCAGCCCAAGGGAGCCGGACGGACCAGATCCTGGTACCCTAAGCATGGTGGCAGCAGAGCTCGCCACGACGACGACGACTCCAGGGTCATGCAAGACTGCGGCCCGGCTCAAGCCCGTCGGGTCCGCCCGCCTCTCTACCCGCGCTGCCCCGAAGGGGACACCGACTGGAGGACCGAACGACGCGCGCGCACGGCCAACAAACAGCTCGAAGCAACTCAGCCAGAGTACCTGGCCCGCACCGCCCGCAGGGATTCCTGGCACCCCAGCTCGGGCCCCGCCGCCCCCGCCCGTCCCGTGCGCGTGGGCCACCGAGGGCACCTACCCGAAGTAGGCGGCTGAAGGGCGCAGCGTGGCGAGCAGCAGCGTCAGCCCGAAGGCCGCGGCCAGCCAGCGCGCCAGCAGGGGCCCATCCAGCATCTTGCCGCTCCGCGGCGGCTAACCATCGCGCTCCCGGCTCCGCGCAGGGCGCGCCGCGGTCACCGCCCCTTATAGCGCCCGGAGCCGCGGCCGCGGGGGCGGGGCGCCGGCCAGCTGGGCCCCGCTCCCGGGACTAGAAGGGGGGCGAGGAGAGGGAGGGGAGCGGGGCGCACGCCGGCGCCGGGGGCGGGCCGAAACCCGAGCCTCGCACGCCGCCCCGCCCGCGCCACCGCCCCGCCACTCCGGGCCCGGGCCGCCACTCCCGGGGCGGGGCTCGGGTTCGGGCGCGCCTGACCCACGGAATAGGAAGAGAGGGAGGGCGTGCTTGGGGGGCGAGAGCTCGGGCAGAGGTGGGGAGGATCGAGGGGCCAGGGAAAAGAGGACGCTCGACAGGCCAGGAGGCTCTGGCTGAGGTGGGGACGTTGGCGGGTGGCAGTAGCGTTGGGGAGTTAGAAGGGGAACTTGGGGCGGCTCTGGGAGGGCAGGCGAGGCGCTGGTTGCCCGGTTTACAGCCAGCAGGACTCCGAGCCGAGACGCACAGGGATGGTGCTGTAGGGGACCCGGCTGTCTGCCCCTATCTGGCGCACGGTACGACTGAGGAGGGGACATGCGTCAGCAGGTGATGCCCGCGTCCCTTTTTGCATTCTGACCCTTACAGTGAGCGGGGCTGAAGAGGCTCACCTCCTTAGTGGGCGCTTTGGCTGCTTTGGGCCTGGGCATGAGGCGACTTGACCGGCAGGGGATGCAGCGTGAGGTTCTCAACCTTTGGGGGCCACGGTGGTCTCTCCGTTCTTAAATGGAGGCAGGGTAGCTAGTGGCTGAAGTCACTGCGACACCAGAGGGAATCCCCCTGCTGTCCATGTCCTCCTTGGGCATAGTGGACAGGACCACAGAGACATCCAGGAGGAAGATGCAGGCCCGTCATGGATGGAAGCCCAGAGAACCTGCCCATCGACTCACTCCCATTGTCACAGAGCAGCCAGGGCTGCTTGAGAAGTAAAATGGTGTCAGAGAATACAAAAACTGAGTTAAAACACAAAGATGCACAAAATTTCAGACAGACTTGGGATGTGGCACTTCGAAGTCTTCTGGACAGGGTGCCTCCCCATAGGCAGCCACACAGCAAGAGTGAGTACAGGGGTTCAGCACCTGTGGCTCAAGTGGCTAAGG